CTCCTCCTCCTCCTCCTCCTCCTCCTCCTCCTCCTCCTCCTCCCCGGCGGTGTGATGTTGTTTCATGACGTGGACCGCCGGAGTTCTGGACCCCTTCCACGGGACTGCCTCTCATCCTGAGTTGTTTTTTGACGGTTCTGAGGCTCGGTGAGAGCACCCAGAGGCCGTGATCAACGACCAGACCTCCCGTCCTGATGTTTGTCACAACGCGAGGAGATCTGGGAGCCCCTCTTCCCTCCTCACCCCCACCCCGGGTGCGGGCTGCGAGGGCGGGGCGCTCACCGCCATGCTGCCCCGTGCAGCCCCGGGCGCACCCCACCCGGCGCGCTCCCCGCGCCAGGCTGCGAGCCAAAGCGCCGCCGGGTATCTGCCGAGTGCCTGCGACGGCGAGGGGGGAGTGTAAGAACCGGCTGAGGGTCCGAGGTAGCCCAGCACCGGTTCCAGCCAGCAGGACAGGGGATGGTCAGGTGCGAGGTTCTGGGTTCGGGAAGCTGTTCTTTTGCTCTTTTCGGTCTCCCAGGGCCGTTTCGGGCCCTGCGGGACCGTCGAAGACAGATCCGAGGTAAAACACCTGCGCCAGACGGACCCTGGGAGGGGTCCAGGGACCGATGATGAGCGGATTTGGCCTCACCTCCTCCAGACTGACTTTCTGGGGTCCCATGACCCTCTGGCCTCCTCCAAGAGGAGTCCTTCTCAGACGTGGTCGCGTCGCGAAAAGATTACTACGGAAGGTAATTGGCCGTTTTCGGCCTCTGGGGGCCCTCCACTGGGCCTCGGGGCCGTCCGTACACGGCCCGGGATGAGAAGCGCGTCCCCCAGAAGGGGTCCAGACCTCTGGGGGGTCACGAAAATTCGCGACGCTGGGGGCCTGGGGATGAAGACTAGGCCGAGGAGGACGGATCAGGAGCGACGGTTGAGTCGAGAACACGCCCGGGAGCAGCAGGCCCTGGCAGCAGCAGCGGCATACTCGGTGGCAGCTGAGCGACGAGCACGGCCGCCGCACGCCAGAGCATACAGAGTTAGGACGCAAGGACGGGCGTACTGGGGCACAGGGAGACACAAACAAATCTACTCACATTCCAGGATTCCCTATGTTGTCCATACGTCGTGGGCTGTAGGCTTCCCCTCAAGTTTCTACAGGTCTTAATGCTTGTCAAGAACATCGGCTTGTGTGTCTGTGCTCATCCGTCCCCCCTGGCACGGCGCCTCCCGAGCTGCAGCCCGCCGCCAGGGTCAGCCCTCTGGGGCTGGCCCGCGGGACTAGCCAAGGATGGCCCGGGGAGGCGGGCGAAGCAGGGGTCGAGCATAGAGAGCGCAAATCCACCCTCAGAAGAAGCACCCCGACAAGCGAAGCCGTTCCGCAAGCGCAGAATGGGAAGGAATCGGACAGGGCAGAGCTGTGGAGCCAACGCCCCTGGCCCAGGGCCGTGTAGTAAACGCCACGTTCGGGGTCGGGGTGCTCTGTCACTCCCTCGAGCATAGCAGATCGGCAACACACATGGATTGACCCCAGTCTTGTCGGTTCCGCGAGTGTGCGGCAGAAGCGCAGAGGAAGCTTCGTGGATCTGCGGAGCATCCTGCGCCCTTGCTCGCAGACTCGCCGGACACCTCGCCGAGCTCCCCTTCGCCACGGGGGCACTCTGCGCTCCTGCTGCTCGCAGCTTCTACATCCTCACTTCAGAGAGTATGGGGCACACCGAGCCTGCAGCCGATCTCCTGCACGAAAGGTTGAGCAGGGACCGGCCGTCCCGGCATTCCTAGCCCTACTACGAAATGCTCTGAGAACCCGAAACTTCGAAGAACGAAAACGATGTTCTCAGAACCTACACCCGATGTGATAAAACAAGACAATCCCAACCAGAAGTGTTCTGAGAACATCTCGTGGAAACCACAAGAAGGTTCTTAGAACATTGTTTGGTGGGGCTGTAGGCGAGCCAGGACGTTCTGGGGGTCTGCCGCCCATCCTGCCAGCGACGCGTCGCCGACTCGGACTCGATGCTCGAGGAGGAGGAGGAGGAGGAGGAGGAGGAGGAGGAGGAGGAGGAGGAGGAGGAGGAGGAGGAGGAGGAGGAGAGGAAGGAGGAGGAGGAGGAGGAGGAGGAGGAGGGGGAGGAGGGAGGGGGAGGAGAGGAGCTTCGCCACTGCTTGAAAGGAGTGGGGGGGGCCGCCTCCTCGGGGGGCGGGCGGTCACAGAAGCGCCAACGTGTGGTGTGTGTGCGGGGGGGGGGGGCGGGCGAGCCCGGGCGCGCGCCTCCGAGCCCGGGGCGGGGCTCCCGGGGCGCAGCCTCGGAGAAGGCGTCCGTTGGGAGCCCTCCGCGGAGCCCCTCTCGGGGAACCTCCGCGGGGCAGGACCGCCCGAGGGCGCCCGAGAGACTCCCGAGGACAGCCCCTCTCGAGGAGGAAGCCAACCCCGGCCACCGCCGCGTGGAGGGCCGCTGTGGCCAGGCCCCACGAGGAGGAGGATGTGAATGAGAAGGAGGAGGAGGAGGAGGAGGAGGAGGAGGAGGAGGAGGAGGAGGGGGAGGGGGAGGAGGAGGAGGAGAAGGAGGAGGAGGAGGAGGAGGAAGAGGAGGAGGAGGGGGGATGACTACGTCTGGAGACACTCATGTGGAAAGAGAGAGCGAGAGAAAGAGAGAGAGGAGTGAGAAGAGAAGAAGGAGGACGATGAGGATGAGGATGAGGATGAGGATGAGCAGAAAGGAGGAAGAGGCGGAAGAGCGAGGGAGAAGTGACGAGGAACCACGAAGAATGGAAGGAGGAGGAGGAGGAAGACGACGAGGAGGGAGGGAGAAGGACGGAGGGACCACGAGGATGATGAGGAGGCATTCCCTGGAATTCGCTGCTAACTCCTTTGGAGGAGAAGGGGGAGGAGGAAGAGGAGGAAGGGAGGGAGAGAGGGAGGGAGGGAGGAATGGCCCTACGCACTCGTCTTGGGAAGCCTTCGCGAAGGCGACCCTCGACGGCGATCCGGAAGGGCCCTGAAACTGGAAAGGGAACGAGATCGAAGGAACGAGCGGAGCGTCAGAGTGGAAGCACGAGGGAGCGCGTGAAGCGAACGAGAAAAAGTGTCCCTGGCCCAAGTGTTGCTAGGAATGCCCCTGGCCCAAGCTGCCCCCAGGACTGCGAAGGAGCCCCCACGGCCTCTGGAGCACCCTTCACGAGGCCTCGAGGGCCCCAGGGGCTCCAGAATGGAGCTAAACGCTGGGGACACCTCGGGCTAGGGTCAGAACATGCGTTAGCGCTAACGTGCGCTTATCCACCAGAAACCTTCAGCAAGGCGAGGGCGGTGCAACGAAGCCGACACAGGCTGTGAGCTATCGCTGGAGCTGAAAGGGATGGACACTCGCACATACTTTTTTTGCGGTCGCAGCCTCGCGCGCGGCAACGAATCGCATCACACACACACACTCACACACACACACACTTCTTGGCGGAAGCGGCCTCGCGCGCGGCGACGAGCCGGAGTACACACAGAGGGCGAATGCATGTCCTGAGGATCGTCAAACCTTGTCCGCGGCCGAATGCATGTCCTGAGGATCCGCGCCGAAGAGAGATGGAAGGCATAAGGGCTATGCGGTTGCGCTCATCGACGTCCACTCAGGCGACTGGGGTCATTCCGTCAGTCTACCACCTCTTACGAACATTTCTGGGGTGGGGGGGGGTGCAAAAACAACATCAATGACACTCCGCCGCGGGAAAGCCATCACTAAGTAACTGTTGAAACATACCAAGCCTTCGGACAAGCAACGACCGCTCATGGGGGAAGCAACGACGTGGAATCGGCGATACATCGCCGATTGATCAGCGATAGGCCCACGATAACGAAATTGAGCGATCCTGGGCGGGGTAGGTTACTTGGCCCCATATCGGCGATAACCGGATGCCCCCCTGAGCCTACCCTCCCCCTATCGCGGACCCTCATCCATCTGTTCCGAATGATTCGGGCCAGTTGAAGAAATACCAAGCTTTCGGACAAAGACAGATGAGTAACAAACTCTAGGGCTCGCAACGGCAGCGTGTCATTGGTACTCTCTCAGGTCGTCCCCATGGCGCCTCTAATCGCGCGTCCAAGAGCACGCAAGGCGCACGCAATGAAACTCCCTCATATGGCGCCGTTGGAAGCTATGGGGCGCCACCTGGGAGCTCCTGGGCGCTACTTGGGCGCTATTGGGCCCTATTGAACGCTTTTGGGCGCTTTTGGGCCCTGTTGGGCACTATGACGTCGATATACGTGCTATCAAAAACGAGCGGAAGTGTCCGTGGCTTACTGTCTAACCACCTTGCTCCAACTCCCGGCCGGGCGGCTATGGAGCACCGAGGCGTCGAAGAGGGGGGGGCCTCGCTTCCAGGCGGGCGCGCGCGCGCGCGAGCGCGCGGCCGCTGCACGCCCTCCTCGCGACGCGTTCGGCGCGCAGGGCGCGCTCGCGCCGCAGCCTCGCGCCGCCCAACAGGGGAAAGAAGGGGAGGGGTCAGCACGAAGGAGCCGGGTCCGGGACTCGCCCTCGCTCGGGCGTTCACTCCCCGTGCATTTTCGGCCTCGCGCGTGCTTGCCTTGCTGGATGGCCCGAAGTGCTCCTCGATGGCCCTCGCCGGAAAAAAAGGTACACGTCGGAGCAATGCCGAGAGGGGGGGGGGGGGGCGCGTCGACCCCCCCCATCGCCCGTTCATCGCCCATGGAGGCCCGATATTGGGAAAACAAAAAGGTACCGATACCGCTACTCTTAGCGGCGCTTGAATTCCAACGTGCGTCTGTTACTATAGAGCGGGGTCATGAAACAAACGTTGAAACACATATTACCACGATATGTGCATATGCGGTCTGGCAAGTCGGGGCGGCATCAAAGCGACGCCAAGGGGCGTCGTGGACTCGAGAGTTCCGCCTGGGAACACGAAGCGCACGATTACCCGGATCATGAAGTTCTGCAACCAGTCGCTGTGTTCTGAGGGGCGCACGGACACGCAAAACACTGTTCAACTAAGCGTTTGCGGGCGCCGGCCTCGAACTCTTGCCCCATCCCCCGCCTCCTCCAAATATCCCTTCGCTGTGGCCCCACCCTCCTCATGGCCCTCCGACTACCCCCAGTCGTCATCAGGCCCCTCGCCCACACTTTTACCCCCCCATGTGCTAACTCATGTCGTTCCTCGTCGTCCCCCCCCGCCGGATGAATTCCCCCATCGTCCACGTGCTTGCCCTCCTCCCATCCTCCACGCCCTAATGCAGATCATGCCCCCTCCTTCTGCCCCCCCCCGCCTGCCTCGTCCTCGTGATGCTGACACCGATGATGCAGCTCCTCCTGGGCCCACTTCCTCCCGTCTCGTCCAATCCCGTTCATCCCCGGCCCTTTGGCCACCCCTCCTACCGAGCCTCTTCATTCCCACAGCCCACCATCCCCCCCCCCCCCGCGCTTTTGCACTCCCAGACCACGGCCCCCTGCTGGACCAGCCGGGCGACCCGCGGAAACTTACGCCCAGTGACCACCCCAGCGAGCGGCGCGCAACAAATGCACACCTCGAGACACGAACAGTGTATTTCGACCGCGCACGACGCCCCCCCTGGACCAGCCGAGCGAGAAACGTAAAAGTTCCCGCCCAATCAACACCACCCGCGAAGGGCACACTCCAAATACACAGGTGGGAACCAGATCTGTATACACAGATCACACCACGATCTGTGTAGACAGTGGGCCCACACACGAAAATACACAGCTGAAGACACAAACTGTGTACACAGATCACGCCTTGATCTGTGTATTTCGGAAATTTGAACGCTCGCCACCTCGAGGGTGCCCCGACATTGCCAGCCCAGAACCGAGGTCGACGTGCCCAACTAGGGGGGAATGCAAATAGACACTTCCCCGGCCCAGGGCGCCCCCGAAGGAGCTGCAAATACACGCTTCCCTGGCCCAAGGCGGCCACTGTGAAACGCGACACCAAAGCAGCCCCCAACGGCCCGAAGACGTCCCAGAAGGCCTTGAAGGACCCCAAAGAAGGCCACACTGCAATCCGAGAACACGAGAGGTGCCGCATGCCATGGACCTCTTAAAATCAAAGCTCCACGCGTCGCCATACAGACCGCTGCGCTGGCAAGAAGACGGACCTTGCCGCAGGCACCTATACATTTACATGTTAGCGATGCGACAGCGTTCGGCGGCCGTGCCGCCCGCGTTTGGAGTGCGCCCCGAATGCTCGCATTGGCAATCCCCTCTGTTTGGTTGCGCCGCTTTGCTCGGATATCGAAAAAGGCGATATACTGCTGATACGGGCACGCGGCACCAGGGATTCCACTTTTCGAACAGGAGGCCAAGACGAAGTAGGACGACGGACGGTGGAGCAGGGACGCACAGAGGAACGAGGAATAGTGGGGGAGGCGGAAAAGGGGCACACCCCCGCCCGAGCCGCGGACGCTTTCGACACCATCCAAGGGGGGGAAGAAACGAAGGGGAACGGAGCGAGGGCGAGGACGACGACGGGAAGCAAACTGTCCTGGGTCCGCATATAGCCACATGTTTGCGATTCGGGTGCGCGTGCTTTCTTCGAGGCGCGTCAAGCCCGACCCACACTGAATTCACTAATTCCTCCGAACTGTGTAAACACCCTGTCCTCTGTACCCCCTCCTATACAACTGCTTGAGAACAGAAGGGGCAGTGGATTCCAAAGCGGAGCGCAGAGGGGGGTAGGGGGAGGGGGGAAGGCTTCTTAGAAGGGGGCTGCTTCTTAGAAGGCGCTGGCCTCACATGTATAGAGAAGGCCCGCGCCTTCTAAGAAGCAGGGGTGCTTCTAAGAAGCCTTCCCCCTCACCCCAACCCCCCCTGCGCGTGGCCGATACTCCCTGGACCTCTCCTAGGGTGCGTTCTGACCAGGATTTCGAGGCGAATCCAGCTGTGGCGACGAGGGCCTCCGAGGAGGCCCGAGAAGGGGAAAACGAGGGAAGGGTAGAGGTGTGGGTACCTTTTCCTCCCCTGACGATAGCCCACCCTGCCCACGAAAGGGCCCTAGGGGAGCAGGGGGCCCCTCGGAGGATCTGTGCCGTGCTCCGGCCCGGCTCTGGCGATGGGTCCTTCAAGGGGTCGCGCCTGACGCCCTGCTCGGCCTCGTCCTCGTCCCCTCCTCCTCTCTCCTCCTCCTCCTTCTCCTTCGCCTCATCCTCTTCCTCCTCCTCCTCCTCCTCCTCCTCGTCCTCCTCCTCCTCGTCCTCCTCCGCTTCCTCCTCCTTCTCCTCTTCCCTCCTCCTCCTCCTCCTCCTCCTCGCTACTCGTCGTCCTCGGGGTCGCCGACATCGTCTCTGCCTGGCGTTGCGCTTCACAGCAGTGCCGTCGGAAGTGTGCGACCAACGCCTGTCTCACGTATGCCAAGGTACCTATGATGTGCACGGCGTCTTGCATCCTCTGAGTAGTATGTTTCTTTTTAGTATCTATAATATAACTCGCATTATCCTTCTTCGGCCTGATAAAAAAATACGTAGCATTTGTATTCGTCTTGTCAGGCATAGTACTATAAACATCACTCGCATGCTTAATGCGATGAATTATACTCGTATGAGTAGTATGGGGTAATATGACTAGTACTACTATCACTGTTCTGCATATCATGTGTCTGAAGATGCCCAGTTTGAGAATTAGTAATAGCAGAATTGGTATGCTTACTATTACTGATCGTAGTACTAAGCACATTCTTCTGGCATGTGATTAAGAGTACGAAAAATACGATTAGGTAGTACTACGAATGATTATTATCTTCTGCTTCCGCCGCCGTTCTGCGACCCTCGGCGGGCCCCGGGGGACCGCCCACAAGAGCGGCTCAGGGTGCAGAGCTGGCCCCGGGGAGATCCTCGGAGTCGTACCAACGGAGCCCCTCTGCCCCAGGACCCCTTTCTTGCCACGGCGAAAAAACGAAGGCGGGGGACGGAGGGGGGAGGAGGAGAGGGGAGGGGACGAGGGAGGGGGGAGAGGGGGAGGGAGGGGGGGAGGGGAGGGGAGGGGAGGGAGGGGGGGGGGAAGGAGGGGATGGGGAGGGAGAGGGCGAGGGGGAGAGAGGAGGCAAGGGAAGGATGGGGCGAAGGGCGAGCACGAGGCGCATGGGGGGAGGGCTGGGGGAGGAGGGGAGGCAGCAGGGGGCCCGCAGGGCGCTCCGGATCACATGACGGCGCAGCTCCTGCCCGACTTGTGAATGTCCGCGGCGTTGATCGCGGGGTGGGCCTCGTCGTGTCGCTGGCGCCGCGGCCGGTGGGCCCCCGCCACGGGGCCGGGGGGGGGAGGGCCTGGGGCACAGCCAGGACTACCAGGAGGGCGCCCTCTGAGCACCCAGCTCTCCGACGAAGTGCTGCGTGCAATCCCAGCAGCACCCCCTCGACTGCTAGCCCAGGCCCCCGACGTCGCGCAGTGGCTTGCGACGTGGACCCTCAGCGGTCTGGACGCCTGGACCCCTTCCCCAGAAGCCGGCTTGCTCGCCATCGCTCGGACGTCCGTTCCCTGTGTTTTTTTCGGTTTCGTGCGTGGTTGTTTCGCCAGATGGTCAAGGATGCTCCTCGATGGCCCTCGCCGAGGAAAAGACGCACACGTCCGAGCGATGCCAAGCTTGTCATCCGGAGTCGACTTTCGACGGCCCGGGAGCCCGTGAGAAACGGACAACCTCCAGTCGAGACCGTGTTCTGACCCCAGGGGGTCTGGGGAGGGAGCAATTGTTGGGCAGGGAGAAGGGGAAAGGGATGGTTGAGTAGGGACTGACCGTCCCGGCATTCCTGTAGGCCTACCACGAAATGTCCTTAGGACAAAGAAGCTCGAATTACCAAAACATTGTTTTTAGACCATAAAGGCCGATGTGTTGAAACGAGACAGCCTCTGCCAGAACTGTCCTACGAAGATGACGTGCAGACCTCCAAAGGATCTTAGAGCTCTTTGGTGGGCCTGCAGGCAAGCCAGGACACCTCGCCTCTGCTCGTAATGGAGAGGCGTCGAGGATGGCCTTTGGGTGGCCCCGCGCGGCTGCAGCTGTGCCCCGCCCCTTCGGCCCCATGGCGTGGCCGACCGGCCGACCAGCTCTGGTGATTGATGATCTCGGCCTTGCAGGGGTTCTGCGTGACCTCCCGCTCGGGCAGTGCGGGGGGGAGGCGAGAGCAGGAGGAGGGGGAGGAGGGGGAGGGGGACGGGGAAGAGGAGGAGGAGAAGGAGGAGGAGGAGGAAGGAGGAGGAGGAGGAGGAGGAGGGGAGGGGAGGGGGAAGAGGGGGAGGGGGGAAGGAGAGGAGGAGGAGGAGGAGGAGAGGAGGATCGGGAGGGACTGAAGGGTAGGAAAATTAATCAGGTCACGTAGCTGTTGCCTTGGGCGCCTCCTGACGCATGGAGGCGCCGATGTATCGAGGAATGGGCACGCCAGCGGGGCCGAAACCAGCTGCCCACTTGTCCGCCTCTCTCTGCACCTCCTGCACCGCTTAATCTGCACTCAGGCATTCTTGCTGATTCTTGCCACCAGAACGCTACAGCCTCGGGATGGGGAGAGGAGGGGGAGGAGGAGGAAGAGGAGGAGGAGGAGGAGGAGAAGGACGAGGAGAAGGAGATGGAGGAGGAGGAGGAGGAAGAGGAAGATGAGGAGGAGGGGGGGGATGTGCAATGATTTCTTCAATCCCAGCGTGTTTCCTCGATTTAGGTCTATGGTGCCCGTGTCCCACTGGGCCCCAGGACCCTCAAAAATGGGTCCCTGACGAAAAAACATCCCTGGGAAAGGGGTCGGGACCTTTAGGGCCACGCATCAAAAAACAAAAAGACGATCTTCGGATGTCTAGGGAAGAGGGGGTGGATCCTAGGATTCTGCCTTGGCCCCGCGCGCACCCGCAAAGAGGCACGATGTCGGGAAGCTGAATGAGGCAACCGAAGACGACGGCGACGAAGACAAACGACGACGGCGAGGACGATAAGCGACACGACGACGGCGGACGAACGAAAGCAGCAATGCGAACGACGACGGTGGCAGCGGCAGTCGCCCGCGCGGGAGCGGAAGCGGCGGGACTCGAGTAGCGCGCCGCCAAAGGGAGGAATATTTGGCATCCACATCCGTAGACCCCAACTAAATGGGGCACATTGTTTCGAGATCGTCCGTGACTCCCTTCCTCTTGTGGTCAGGGTGGAGTCCCTTGCCCAATCTTGACCAAACTTCGCTGCGCTTCGGGGGTCACTCCGGGCTTCGCTTCACAAGGCCCCGCATCTGATCTCCCATGACAAGTGGCGGAGCTGGCAGACACAATCGAGGCTATTGTCCGAGAAATCTATCACAACGCAGCCCGTCAAATTGAGGAGTTGCCAAGCTCTACTACACATCGACTCGCGAGACAGCCTCGAGCTACACGGTGACGCGAGACCACCCCGACGCGACGCCACACCGAAGCCTGCGGCCCGACATGTAAGACGAACCTGGGACGAGGATACAACTGAGTGAGGGTAAATCGAGAATTGAGATCCGGCGGCTGTGGAAGATCAGAGCGTTCCCGGACCCTTTGAGAGCGTTCCGGAACGCTCTGGAACGGATTCATCCTCGTCCTAGCCCCGTCCGAACAAGGGCCACGCGCCGCCATATTTCTTGTTCATGGCCCGAGGCGGTCGGGGGCGGCTAGGGGTCTGAACTGGATGAGTGCCCAGAAAATCGATCAAAGGAGGATGACGACAAAGCCGCTCAAAATCGTGCCCCGGCGGGGTCCAACTGGTGCAATGCTTCACGGAGCCGGAGCCCGAAGACGGCCCGCCTGGGAACGAAACATGCAAGAAAGCTTCCCGAGCCCTGAGCCCCAGAACCTCGAGCCTCGCGCTGGAACGAACGCTGGGCCACCTGGCCCCCAGCCGGCTCCGAGATCCGAGAGGGTCTGGGCCTGGAGCTTCCCCGCGTGAAGAACGTGTGGTGCGCGATGAGTTAGGGATCCCGGCAGCTCCGCGAGGGAGGAGGGCGGTCGGCGGCCGCGGCCCGTCGACGCGCCCCCGCGGCCGCCAGCGTCGGCGCGTCGGCGGGGGGGGATGCGGCGGGGAAGGGGTGCGACGTTGGGAGGAGGGCGGATGGAGGAGGGAGGAGGAGGAGGAGGCGGAGGAGGAGGAGGAGGAGGAGGAGGAGGAGGAGGAGGAGGCGGAGGACCAGTGTAGACCCAAGACTCATCAACGAAGTGGGAGTCAACACTCTCTTCAAACTCCTTTTTTTTCACACTGGGCATTTTTCGCACGATTTCAAGCCCCGAGAGGCAGGAAAATGGTGTCCGGGGCTCTGGTGGTGATTTGTTGCGATGTTGAGGAGGATGGAGGCGAGGATGAAGGATGAGGAGGGATGCGGATGATGGAGGATGGAGGAGAGTGGAGGACGGATGAGGAGGAGGGAGTAGTGCGGAGAGGGAAGACGAATAACGACGGTGATGACGATGAAGCTTTCTCATCGGTCCCAGGTGACCTCCAGCTCGGGGCGCGAGAGGGTCACGCCCGCGAGGTCCGCGGCGATGCGGTAGAAGGAGGGGCTGACGTTCTCGCCGGTCCTCGAGGGGGCAGGCTGCAGGCGGAAGTGATTTGCTTCGGGGGAGAGGAGGACGAGGAAGAGGAGTAGGAGGAGGCGGAGGAGGAGTGGAAGGAGGAAGAGAGATGGAGGAAGAGGAAGGGAGGGCCAATGTAAACCCAAGACGCAACAACTACGTTGCAATCAACCTATGTGCAATCAACCTTCCCTCCAAAAATCTTTCTTCTGCCTCATTGGAAGACCCACATTTTTGACAAGGAGCAGGCCTCCATCTTTGAAACTGATGCAATCGTTTAAGACGAATGTGCGCGGCGCTAGAGGCGAGAGCCACATTTTGACAGCCAGTCGCCCTCCATCGTTGAAACTGCTGCAAAATCCCACCAGCCCTTCGGGCGAAGGTGGACGAGTGAGTTCATCCGATCCTCTTCCAAAACCTCTTCCCTTCAGGGAGGACCCTCCCCCTCGGATCACTGATATTTTTGGGACGGGCCGCGATGTGCAGTTGGGTCCCTGTTCGCCCAAGAGGGCTCCAAGGGGGTCTCCGATGCTCCAAGATGTCATCCGAAGCGGCGAAAGATGACCGAAGATGATTACAGATGGCTTCCGACATACGTCCAATGCGCCCGACGAGGGTAACAAGGCGGTTCAAAGTGTCCTCGGAGCCTCCCCAAGAAACCCCTCAAGAGGCCAAAAGCTTCAAAACGTAAGGAAAGCAATGATGTGTGCCTTCTCGCCTTTTCGCTTCCGGTGCGCTTCGGAGGCGCCAAGGAGATGGCCCAAGAGAAGCCCAAGAGGGGCACCGGGTCCCCCCCAGCCGACCCCAAGAGCGCCCAAAAGCTGCCCGAGAGCGGCTCAAGAAGGCCCCAAGAGGCGATTTCGATGGCCCCGAGGAGGAGGAAGCATTATCATCCTGCTCCTCGTACTCCACCTCTGGTCCCTCCGGCTCCTCCTTCTCCTACACCCTTTCCTCCATCCTTCCCCCCCCTCGTGCTCCATCCTCCGTCCTCATAAATAACTCCCCCCGTGTCGCACCCCGAGGCCAGTCGAAAGAGCGGGCCAGGCGCTTCGATGAAGATTTCCTCTCCAGTCACGGCCCTAAGGCTGAGCATTGGCAACAGCTTCACCTTGGCGGGTCGCTTCCAATATGTGGCCCTCGCCTTGGCGCCGCGCACATTCGTTTCAAAACTGCACAGGCGGTTCACGGATTGCGGGCGGGCCGTTCTCAAAACGCGGTTCTCGTTCTGAACGGGTGCAAGAGTTTCACGGATTGAGGGCAGTTCTGTTCCAACATTTGATTCTGGCCTTGGCGCCGCGCGCATTCGCGCTAAGCATTTGCAATCGTCTCACGGGCTCCAATGGCTCACGTACCAACATGCGTTCGGGAACAATTCATGATTGTGAGGGCGTAACAATTGCGTTGAGTCGTGTTGTCGAAGTCCCAGGGATGGCGTTCTGGCGCGATTCAGGAGCATCAGGACGCAACAGGCAGGTTGATTCGTGGCAAGAAGTCCCGAGAGTGATGTTGGCACGCTTCATGATATTAGAGCTGTTGCCTCCCAACAGTGGAAGTGAATCGATGTAGGGGTCTAAAAGGGAGTTTGAAGGGAGTGTTGACTCCAACTTCGTTGATGAGCCTTGGGTTTACACTGGTCATCCGCCTCCTCATCATCCTCCACCCTCTTCTCTTCCGCCTCCTCCTCCTCATCCTCGTCCTCCTCCTCCTCCTTCTCCTCCCCCTCACGCCTCGATCCCTCTCTCCCTCCCACACATGCCACCGTCTGGTCCTCCACATCATGCTCCTCTGCCTCCTCCTCCTCCTCATCCTTCTCCCTCCCTCCTGCCCTCCCTTCCTCCCTCCTCCAGGGCAGAGTCGATCTGTCGATTCAGGATGTGCGAGTAAGCTTCTTCTAGGCAGGTCAATGTGTCACTAGGTTTGGGTAAGGGTGCTATCTGGAAATGCTAATGTTTCCACCGCCGTAGCCACCCCCCGACCGCAGCAACGCCACTGCTCACCGCACCCGCCTCCCTCTCTTCTGGGAGCACACATGCGAGGCCTCCTCCAGTGCTATACTGAGCCACACACAACCTGCCAGGGACCACATGAGCACAACCAGGGCTAATAGCGCAGCCGAGAGCTCACCACACGTCCGGGCCCCCTTTTGTGACATACCGAGCTAACCTCCCCCCGCCAGGTTCAGCAGCTCATCAGCAGTCGCAAGACTGCCGCATGCGTCGCATCATTGTTGTCCTTATCTCTCTCTCTCTCTCTTTCTGTTGCTTTCTCTCTGTCTCTCTCTCGCTCTCGCTCTCGCTCTCGCTCTCGCTCTCTCTCTCTCTCTCTCTCCCTCTCTCTCCACGGGCCAACGTGAGCCCAGCTGGGGCTAATTGTGCTCCCGACAGCGCACCGCACAAGCGAGGCCCTCTTTGTGCTATTCAGACCTACCCATCTCCCGCCAGGTTCAGAACGTACCACTGCCCGTGGCTTGCCTCTTTGATCATCGCATCTCGCACACTGCTGCAGATGGGGCGAGTCATGAACTTGATCCCGGCTAAGTTGGTTCGCCCTGGGCTGGTGGCAGGCTTCTCATGCCGTGCTCTGTAGAGTACAGCCTGTCGGTGTGCACAGGAAGCAGGGTGGCGTAGCCATGTGGACCTCCGGCCCTGCCCTGGCCAGCCAAACAGCAGGCGTTCGCCGATGGCACTGCAGTCATCCTGTTGGTACCGCACCGTTCGGCCTGCAAGGTCATAGATTCCCATTGCCTCCTCAAGCGTTCAGATAGCCGCCGTGGGGCCGCCGTCGTCTCGCCTCGTGCCGTGGATTGGGTGGAGACAACTTGCCCGCTCGAATACTCAGCGAACGGCCGCAACAAGCCGTCTGTCGATACGCAGTGCGATGCGCAAGCTGGTTTCCGCCTGTGGGGAAGGAAGCGATGCGAGCGGCGCACGAGGACTGTGGGTGTTGCCGACTTCCTTGCGCCCCTCAGATGTCGTAGAATGTTGCAGATCAGCGGTAGTACGTTAGCCGCCCAGGGTGATTCATGTCCCTTCCCACCACGTTGTTCTTCCTAGCCCAGTGCCTAGTGGCAGGCGTCCCAACATTCAGTGCCCTGCTTTGTAAAACCATCTGGCGGTGTGTATGGTCGGGCGAGTCTAGCAGCGGGTCTGGCAGCGCTCTAGGGCTTCGGTCCCTGGGCAATGTAGAGATAGCTACAGAGACATTCTGGCGGTGTTCATGGTAGGGCTTGTCCCCTCGGTGTCCTCGTAGCCGATTGTTCGCCGCCGTTTCGTCTCATGCCGTGGCAAGGGTGAGGGTAACTTGCCCGCCCAGGTACTCCATGAACGACTGGATAAGGTTGCCTGTTTATACGCAGTGCGGCATGCAATATTGCTTTGCCCCAGACTGCTGCTGCTTGTCCCTCTGGAGTAGCACCCGAGAGCCGCGGCGATCTGCTCCTGCCCTCTCCCCAAGCGCGGCGATAGCCGGTATGTTTCCGCCGCCGTCTCGATCGTGCCGCGCTGGGGCGAAGATAGCTCTCCCACCACGTTGCTACGAACGACCGCACAAGGCTGTCTGCTCTGCGCGGTAGCTTGCTCGGCTGCCTACCTGGTGCTGCCTGCCTGCCTGCCTGCCTGACTTCAACCTTGGTGCCCCAACAATTTTGTTAGCCCACTAATATTATGCGAGTTGCGTGCCGGACTCTGCTGAGAGGCTCCCGGCTTAATCAGAGTCGACATTTAAAATAAAATCCTCCCCGTCGTGGGGGCGAGGAGGGCAAGAACGAGGTTGGAGGACGAGGCGTCCTCCAGTCGCGCTCACTGTACGATCACGATTGCCCCCTATTCGCCCGTGTGCGCGTTGAAGCCGCGGCGGCACGTGCTGACTGCCAGGCATGCCGACGGGGAGCTCTCGCCTCGTCCTTCTTACGGAGGCGAGGAGCGTAAGGCTGCGGGTTGCGCACAGGCAGCCTCCCTCAAGTAGTCCCTGCTGGCCTCAGACCCCAGCCCGGGGCCATCTCAACATACCATGGAGCGCTCCGCGCCCCAGAGTTGGTGCGTTGAGACCGCCCAGGATGAATTACTCGGGAATCCTGTGGAGTCCAGCCAAGACCGCACGTGGGAACTGTCGGTGCGCAACCCGCAGCCTCTCCACCATCGCCCCATGTGAGAAGGACGGGGCGAGAACTATCCGTCGGTGTGCCTGGCAGTCAGCCGGTGCCGCCGCGGCTGCCGTGTGGACACGGGCGCAAGCTGAACCTCGGGAGGCGAGGCTGAGCCGGAGGAGGCGAGGTTGAATCAGAGGACCCCTCGCCCTCCATCCTCGCTCTTGCCCCTCTTCGCCGATGATTCGACACGTCCACCACCACTTCTGGAGCTAACGTCCCAAGACGCCAAGAGGAAGCGGATGTGGACATCTGTGGGCCCCATGGACTTGGACACTGGGGGAACCAGAAGGCACCGATAGCGGCGAATCAAGTGGTGGCGACAAGGGCCTTCCAGGAGCCCCAAAAAGGCAAAAACGAGATAAGGGTAAGTAGTGATATGGGTAAGCCTCCTCTCAGTCACACCCAGGTCCACCACCTCCGAAGCGGTGGATATAGGACATCTGATGTGCATTAACCCGAGCCTCGGACGCATGATCCTTAGGCTGCGCCTCTGGATGCCTCCCAAATGGGGTCCGAGTGTATGAGGTCGGAGGATCGCGCCGCATCACCGGTACATCGCGAATGCATCGGCGATGCATCAGCGACGTCGGCGATGCGACGTCGGCGTGGAGAAAATCGGGCTCCACATCGAACCGCATCGCCGATACATTGGCGATGCGGCACGATCCTCCAACCCCATCTCTGGCCCAATCTGGGAGGCCTGGAACTCCCATCCCTCTGGTCATCCTTCTCAGACATCTGGCGGCTCGATCTATCCTTGACGTCGGACCCCGGCCCTGGACCGTTCCACCCCATCCTGGGGACCGATTGTCATCCCAAATCGTTCCCGAAACAGTTTATCAGACAGACACAGACAGAC